GGTCTGAAACTCAATATCAAAAAAACTAAGATCATGGCCACTGGTCCCATCACCTCCTGGGAAATAGAAGGGGAAGATATGGAGGCAGTGTCAAATTTTATCTTCCTGGGCTCCATGATCACTGCAGATGGAGACAGCAGCCCTGAAATTAAATGGCGCCTTCTTCTTGGGAGGAAAGCGATGACAAATCTTGACAGCATCTTGAAAAGCAGAGACATCACCTTGCCGACAAAAGTCCGAATAGTCAAAGCTATGGTTTTTCCTGTTGTGATGTATGGAAGTGAGAGCTGGACCATAAAGAAAGCAGACCGCCGAAGAATTGATGCCTTTGAATTGTGGTGCTGGAGGAGGCTCTTGAGAATCCCCTGGACTGCAAGGAGAACAAACCTATCAGTTCTAAAGGAAATCAACCCTGAGTGCTCACTTGAAGGACAGATCCTGAAGCTGAGGCTCCAGTTCTTTGGCCATCTCATGAGAAGAAAAGAGTCCTTGGAAAAAACCTTGATGTTAGGAAGGTGTGATGGCAAGAGGAGAAGGGGACGACCGAGGATTTGATGGCTGGACAGTGTCTGCGAAGCAACCAACATGAACCTGACACAACTCCGGGAGGCAGTAGAAGACAGGAGGGCCTGGCGTGCTCTGGTCGAAAAGAAAGGGAAATCACATTTTTTTTAAAATCCGTGAACACTAAAGAAGGGAACATGAAGAAATTAGACTATATATTTGCACACTGATCTGTTCGTTTTGTTTTAAATGAACTTATATTACTTATTCCATATCCTTCAAACAAGGACACAAGGACTAGCTAGACAGCTACACTGGAGCAGGCTTGATTTGGTAGATAGGAATGCTTAAGAACACATTGAGGTCCTGTATGCCATTCGGTGCAATCCTTGCATCCAAGACATAAATACCTCAGGCAACTTTTTTATTCCTGCCTCCTCTAAGGAAAGAAATAAAACAAAGTCTCTCCCATTACTCCTCCCATCTCTTCCTTGTTCCAGGAGGAAGCTTTCAATTTTTTATTTTATTCTAAAAGGTATAACACATCAGCATTGCCCTAATAGGTGTAAGTAAAAAACTTTGCTTCCTCCTTCTACCCCTCCATGGAATAACAGAGGATTTTATTTTCATTTCTCAAACTCATTCACTTGCTAAGCATAACAATATTGGGTAATTTGAACTGGATGGAAATTTCAAAGTGGCAAGCTTCACTTTGGTTCAACCTCAGTGATCACATATACTGGAAACAAATCAGATTGTGACAATCCTGCTGAAACATAAAAAAGAGTAGCCACTGAAAGGGAGCCAGAAAGGTGCTGGTGGGTATACTCTGGTTCATGCTGGTATTTATGTCATCTGGTTGCTGGCAAAAGGAGTGAACAGGCCTATCCCCCACAGTGGACTAAACAGCTGGACAAATGCCTGGATAGTCATGCCCAAAGATGTCCACATTAGGGAACAACATTCTGCATATTCTACTGTCTTTCAAACATTTAACCCTTGGTACCACACAAGTGTTCTGCCCACAGTTTTTTAACCCTTTAAGACAGTGAGAGGTCAGTTATTATGGAATTTAGCATGAAAAACTGGAAACACATTTGGAATGGGGGATAGTTTGCTATGAGAAAAATGGGTGTGTATGAATGTTTTCCAATGGCTTTAATGAAACTGAAGTTTGATAAAACAGAACTTTGGTTAGCCAGTCAGTCAATCTTTATTTTTGGACTCGAACCCAATAGGATACATATTTGTAATATTTAAAATAGATGTAAGCAATTAAAATTTCAAGATAGCTAATACAGTATAAATTAATAAAATAAATTACCCATACATTGTTTGGGTAGAGGTCAAGGTTGTCTTTCATATTCTTTGGGCAGAAAGAAGGAATTTGGCCACTGATTAGGTGGTTATCTTGTTTGTGTTGCTTAATAAATATTTTGTAAGCCAAATTAGAGTCCTACTTGGGAAGACATTCATTATGGGCTTGAGGAATTTGATACACTCATTTCTGTAAAAATTACACACAAAAAGGGTGCTTCAAAGTTTCAATTTATCTATCTTTACAAGAACACAATCTTTTTTCATAACGGATGCCATCTAAAATTGCGGATTGGAGACAGTTAAATTGGGCTCTTGAGAAGACATGCCTGTATGTTGGGATAATCAGATTCTCGTAGCACTTTTGGAGAAATGATAGTTCTAGGCCAAGGTGCAAGATAGAACATCTTTTGCAAGCCTTTGAAATAGAATATTGAAAGTCAATGTCCCTAATTTGCTTTTCTAGGATAGAGTTGACTGCCTTGGGTTCCTGGGCATAAAGAAACTCCGTAAAGAGCCCTAATAGATGCAGTTTGGCTGGAAAAGCTTTAAGCCAAGAGCTATTATGGACATCTTTCTGTATAAGGTTAAGATATCCCATGAAGGGGTCAGCATGTATTACCTTGTTCCAATATCTAAAAGCAAAGAGCCACAGACTGTATTCTAGTGATGTTAAACCAGTCTCTAATCATAAGGCACCTGCAGGGACACATCTTGGCATTCCCAGAATGGATCTTTGAAAAACCGAAAGAACACTCTTTATACTTGTGTGAAATCCTGGGATCCAAGTTGGTATACCATATAACAGCTGGGGCAGAATTTTGAGCTTAAAAACTTGGACAGCAGCTGGTATAAATTGTAAAGAAAAAAACGCAAGATAGCTTTCTGCATGTTCTGGGCTGCTTGGATTATTGACCGTCTATGCGCAGCCCAGGAAAGTTTATGGCGGAATATAATATTTAGATACTTTAGCTGTTTTACTTGCTCAATGCAAGAACCATTAATTGTCCAATTTCTTGGTGTTACAGATTGAGTGAAAACCATAATTTTGGTTTTAACAAAATTTATAACCGATTGGTTGTTCTTACCTTAGGTCATAAATGTACGGATCAGCTGTTTAAAGCCTATTTTCAATAGTGACAGAAGAATGGCATCATCTACATAAAGCAGTAGGGGACATTTGGTCTCTGCCAATCTAGGAGGATGGAAGTCTGTTCCAAGACACCACCCAAGCAGATCATTTAAATACAGTACAGGTTAAATAATGTGGAGGCTAATATACAACACTGTCGAACCCCTTGATTCGCCTGAATAGGTTTTGTCAAGTTTCCTTCGGTACCACATCTAACACAAAGTATGGTGCCCTGATAAAGACATTTAATAAGATATAAGGTAAAGGTAAAGGTTCCCTTTGACAATTTTTGTCCAGTCGTGTTTGACTCTAGGGGGGGGGGGGGGGGTCATCTCCGTTTCCAAGCCATAGAGCCAGCGTTTTGTCCAAAGACAATCTTCCGTGGTCACATGGCCAGTGCGACTTAGACAAGGAACGCTGTTACCTTCCCACCGAGGTGGTCCCTATTTATCTACTTGCATTTGCAAGCTTTCAAACCGCTAGGTTGGCAGGAGCTGGGACAAGCGATGGGCGCTCACTCCGTCGCGTGGATTTGATCTTATGACTGCTGGTCTTCTAACCCTGCAGCACAGGCTTCTGCGGTTTAGCCCACAGCACCACCACGTCCCTTTCAATAATAAGATATAGGAGTCTCTTATCTATAGAGGTTTTGTATTCACGCACAGTTTTAATCTAACTTTGGTTAGCTAAAAAGATGGGCAATATGTATTACATATATAGAAACATTTGCACCAAGATAGATCAAACTTACTGCAGTGGCAGGTGAATGAGTGAAGCTCCTTTTGATGTGTCTATGCTATTGGAGAATTGGTATCTATAAGACACAACTAAAGAATGTTGTTTATGGATAAGAGATACAAAAAGTGGTCACTTTTTGATAACAAGGCTAGTGAGAAGAGTATCTTAAACCTAAAATGTTGGATATAGCATTTTTTATTTCCTTGTTTCTTAAGCTGTAGATTATTGGGTTGATTAAAGGAGGCGTCATGGAATATAATATAGTTAGTGCCAAATCAAAATATGATGGCGATTTGGAGGGGGGCTTGATCTGAGCAGAACATCCTGTAAAGACAAATATAAAGACTACAGTAAGGTGGGGAAGACACGTTGAGAAGGCTTTCTTCCTTCCTTGCACGGAAGGAATTTTCAGCACTGCAGTAAAGATATGCACATAAGTCACGAGGATGAAAATAAAACACCCTCCTGCAAGCACAACACTGAACAAAATAAATCCAGCTTCAACTAAGTAAAAGTCAGAGCAAGCCAGCTTCAATAACTGTGGGAGTTCACAGAAAAATTGATTGACTTTGTTAGAGCAAAAGGGGGCTGCAAAAGTACCGCCAGTATGCATTGCTCCATAAAGAAAGCCACTGACCCAGACAGTAGCAATCATTTGAAGGCAGGCTTGCTTGCTCATCAACATTTCATATTGTAATGGATTGCAAATTGCAACATACCGATCATATGCCATTACTGTGAGGAGAAGGAAATCAGAGCCCATAAAAAAGATAAAAAAAAACATTTGAGTAACACATCCAAAATACGAAATGTGTCTAATCTCCATGAGGGAATCTACCATGGATTTGGGGACAATGACTAAAATTTGTCCCACATCCTGTATGGCCAAGTTCATCAGAAAGAAGTGCATGGGATTATGTAAGTGGTGGTCAGTAGCTACCGCAGAGATGATGAGAAGATTTGCTCCAACTGCTACCAGGTAGTAAACAAGGAAGATAATGAAGAATAAAAGCTGAAGCTGATGGACCTCTGAATATCCCAAGAGAAGAAAGTATGTGAGAGAAGACTGATTCCTTAAGTTTTCTTCCTTTAGATGCATGTTGTCTTCCTGTGGAAGGAAGCAGAAAGAAATGAGTGTACAAAGGAGAGCAGCATGACTTGCTTTTGCTGGTGTTTTTGTGGTGACAGTGGGGTTTTTTATTACTAGTGCATATTTGAGAACTGACTTGATCAAAGATTAGTGCTTTGTAGCCTTCACATTAGACAAGTTGCCATAAGTATTTATTTATTTATTTATTGGACTTATATACCGCCCCATAGCGCTACAAGCACTCTCCGGATTTATTTATTTATTTATTTATTTATTTATTAAGAGCAATACATGACAACTAGATGGCTGGCAAGAATAACTTTCAGAGCCCATATGACACTGGATGAATCGTACCAGCTAACAATGCACATCCGGTTGAAGTGCAAACTGTTGGTGATGACAATCATTAAATGGCTTATGATCTGGTTATTAATGGGGCTTTTCTCCCAGTATGGACCTGTCTGATCATATCATTCTGCTTGGAAGGCAATGGAAGTGTGGGACAATAGTGGTAGTCTTTGAATATATTCATGGGTTACAATTATTTTTATCCAATATAGAGAAAGTGGGGGGGAGAGAGAGAGAGGGAGAGAAAGCAAAATAGAAGTAGAACATATTTTTGTAGCAGAGCGAATGAGAAAATTCTGAAGCGATAAGACAAATTACTCACTATTTTTCTTCATCTATTGCTCTTGGCTCCATATGCGCTTTCTGTTCCACTGCTATTCAGTATCCATGTACAATGGTGACCAGACAGAGACATAGTTTTATGAGACCTGTGTGATGATGTCAAGATTTTGATAGTGGGGAGAGACTTGTTTACATTTCCTTTGCATCCCTTGAGATGTGCTTCTATGGGAATCCATCACAGCTCAGAACCACAAGCATTCCGAGATTAAATTATTGACAAATGTGTACCAATCATCTTCCATGGCATCAAGCAGTTTCTATTGTTTCTACTGGTTGCTTATATTCCACCAGGCAGAAAGGGAAGGGAAGCTGAGGAAACGACCACATCAGTGTTACTAAGGAATGTTCATGTATTTAACTAAAGGACAAATTCCAGGTAGGGTAAAACACAATTTATCTGCAGAAACAACATTTCAGTACCCACTCCAAGCATAAAAATAATTTTTTGAAACACAACTTGGAACAGAGACTTCTGTGCAGGCCATTTCAATCAAACTCACCAGACCTAAGGGGAAGCATCACAAAATGCTCCCGGGATACACATTCCGGTATCTGTTCCAGGTGTAAAATAAATTTTGCAAAAAAAAAAAAAAATAACAGAACAGCAAATTCCAAATAGATCACCCAAACCAAACTGATCTGCCCTACTCAGCTAGAGGCTATTGATGCAAACAGCCACAAGATGTCATTGGGAACAACATTCAAGTACCATTCTGCCGAGATTTTCTGCCTGGAACAACTCACCCAACTCAAAAAACAGGTGCCTGAAGAAAAACTATGGAACTGTACCTTGAATCAGCTCCAGCTTTGGCACAGGCATAGTGGAAAGGTTGTTCTTGCTCTTTGCCAGGCATGGGGTTTTTGGATTTGGGGCAAAGAGTCATCAAGTTTTAATTTTTAAAAAAAGCAGCACTGTTTTTTACCCCATGCAGATCCAAGAGACCTTGAGTTCTGGTCAATTTAAAACAAGTGATAAGACCAAATTTACACACCTAGAAAGAAAATGTCCAAACCAATCATGGCTCTAATTCACAGTTCCAAAGCAGCAATCTTTAAGCAAGATAAAATGTGAGCTTCTGGGCTTTCTCTTATAAAGTTCCAACATTCTAAAAGGGCTGAACCTTTGACCTTTAGATTCAGACCACCACCACCCCCCATTCAATGACTGTGAAAGAAAGCATTTAACACCTTCCTGTGAAAATATTTCAAAATATATTTTAAGAAAGATATTAACATCAACCGGATTTCCCCCTATAAAGGGGTTCAGGGATTCTTGCAAAACATGACTTGGTTTTAACGGAGTCCACAAACTATTTACAAATGGGTTCGTCGTCTCTGGATTCCAGGGGCCTGTTGTAGGCGGCACAGACTCCAGTCCAGGGTCCAAAGCTTCTTCTAGTGAAATTAAGGGTAGTGTCTCCTCGTCGCCGCTCCAGCCATCCCAGGAGGATCCCTCTCCTCCATCGGTACCCCAAGGGCCGGGTAACCCCCCAGTTTCCTCAGCTCGGCGATATGCCATTGTTTCTTTCGTTCCAGTTCTCTGACAACGGCTTCCCTTTCTTCACGAAGCTTTCTCCTCCACTCCTTAGCTTCAGTTTCCCCCCAATAAGAGGGTCGGGGTTTCAATCCTAGCTGCCGGCGCTTCTCCGCTTCCTCATGAGGAACCCGGACCTGTTCCCACTTGTGGGTCCAGGGGTCCTCCATCCACACCCATTCCCAACTGCCCGGAATATCTCTCAGTTTCCCCCTTATATCCCCTACCCCAGCTTCAATCTCCTCCCCCCGGTTTCCCGCCCGAACTCGCCCCGGTTCCCGGGTGATCCTTAACTCTTTCATGACCTCCTCCAAGTCATGGGTGTCTACCCCCTTATTTAGGGTAAGGGATCCGACGC